AATCGGTAACTATCCGTTGACTTCGTTCCCGAGAATCAACAGTAATCAAATGCCTTAAACGTGGTCTATGGGTTCACATGAGCTACTAAAACTCAAGGATCTCCCTTCTAGTTGCCTATAGTTAAACAAACGTTAGCACTATGTTACTGTTTGTAAATTTCTGTCAAGTAGTGTTTGAAGCGACGGGTCCTTAGGTCGAGTCCCGGTGAGAACTCAGACAAAATCAACGTAGAACCTTGCACACGAGTGCATCGGTTCAACTTGCCATAATTCACAGCAGTATGCAAAAAAATGGGTAGGGAAAGACTGATACCAGAGTCGACGAAAATGATTTAGAGGAGAATTAATGTGAAGATAAAGCTTATTGCAAATATTCAAGGTTTTGAAGACTTCAAATAATGAATACATCTGCGCCGCTGTAACCGACTTTCAGCAATGTTACCGACAATCAGTCCTCATCCACCGATTCCTACCGTCTTATGGACCCCAAGCAAGTAGTCTACATCTCCTTACACGACTCAGACCAACAGTCAGGGATTTCATTGACTAGTCCCGATGTAGTCTGACCACCCTGAACCCTGTTCGAACCAAGTCCAACTTCCTTTAGCACATCGAGGTAGGCAGTGGCTTCCCATACGTAATACGTGTCCAATCCATCGCAGCTGATTAAGGTTCACAACCTCATCAATCCAACTGAAGAGTCCTATACTCCACTGCTAGCCACTATCCATCGCTAATACAAAAATTTTATCATTTTTATTCGCATTCTTTACATTCGCTAATTGAATTTCGCCTGTTTTATCTTGATTTGTCAATGTACATAGTTGCTTCGTTCTAACTCAAAAGTACTTTTCCCATTTAATCCTATTTTAATGCTGTATTTATTCCATACTGTTTGGAGATGAGAAGTTTCTAAATAAATTTGAGCTTTGTTTATTCTATAAATCTTCTTCTCCTTTCTTTGATGAAAATGATCAAGGGAACACACAGTATGAGACTTCAATGGGCTCAACACAACTTGACTTCTTCATCTGTGTGTTTTCCCTTGATTACATGCAAAAGGAGTAAATATGAGTAAACTCAGTGCTGGGTTGCATTTGTGTTCAAATGTTATAGAGGACATCAGTCCTAAAAGGTTGTAGACACGCATTGTTGATAAGTGCCAACAAGTGCGGAATCCTAGGTTCATGACTTCCTCCCAATTGTCTTCAATCAACTGACATTATTGGAATATTTTTAATCTCACAATAACACTCTATGGAAAAATATACAAACCACTTGTAACAGCTAAACTTAATTGACCAACTTCAGTTTATTGGTATAAATTTCTAGCTGTATTAGGCTTGTTTCCACTTACCTTACTACTCATCGTCTTGAGTCTTGTCGATCAACTGAAGTGTGTTTAAATAGTAATCTAATATAATGTTAAAATATTAAAGATTGTAAATAACTGATAAGAACTTGAAAAAACAAAAGTACAATTCAAATTATGCTGTTCAGTATACTCTTGAAGAATAAATATTTCTATGAAGTTTGTTAAAACTTCAAGAATTTGAAACTAGCTTAAAAATATCACATCTTTTACACAGTTGTTTTACATCCAAAATGTCTCCTTTATTCCTATTTGACATAGGATGGATAATCGTTATTTTCTCAGTTTTCTAAGGGCTTTACAAAGTATCCTTTCCTACCTTGTTCTCGTTTACTGAATGTTCTTTATATTCACTTTTGACAGCGATAAACCTATAGATACCTCACGATCCGAAGGTTGTAACTCATTATTCACTAGTGTTTACTCATAAAGAAACTTATTTCAATTAGATGTGAGTTGGTTGGAGACATGAGACGCATGTAATTCAGTCCCACATGAGGTTGTCAATGGCGCCCCAGTGGTAACGTTGATGACTAATGCTGGGTGACCCGGGTTCGAATCCCAGAAGGGACAGCGGTCCCCTCCAAGTTGCAGAAACACCTAGCTGACGGGTGCCAACACGCTCGAAACCCAGGTCTAGAGCTTCCTACCGACCAACTATTTTACTTCCATCCCTTATATTATGTTTTGCTAAGTAATAATGCAATCCATAAAATATATTTTAACCTATTTAAGACCAGCTAATTGTTTTTCTTATTTCCAACATGCACTCTTTCCTAGTCACACTTTGTTACTACTACAAAAACTATTTGCCGTTTTACTTTTATTCTACCGTCATGCTGGAGCCTAACTGTCTAATTTCTTTTTGATCAGGTTTGATTTTATTCAATACGACTCTTGAATAACTCCGTAAGGCCACAGTAAACTGGTCTTCAAGTAAATAAATATGAGGACTCAAATGCGTTGAACTGTTCTACCCCACAGGAGAAAGTGGAGTGATATATACATAGTATTGTGGCTCAAATCTTCAGTTTATCCTTCGCGTACAGAAGGATGAGTTTGTGATACGGGAATACGACTCCGATATTAGTAGCAAGATGGCCTATCCATTGATCTTAGTAGTCTCTCCCTGGACAATAATACTCCCGGACTGGAGGTTCGACAGTGAATACTTTTTACTGTATCTAACAACACCTTTGAGCTTTAACATTCTTATCCGTAAAATCTCAGTAGGTAGGCCATTTGCAGCTGATGAAAGGTCATGAAATAAAATGAGCTCATTTTGATCTGCAAATGTCTTTGTTCTTGCACTGTTCAGATTACCCGTTTTCAATTAGAATTTTAGGTTCTTCAGTTCATCCTTGTGCCTGAGTGGTCCCAACAATGAAAATGAATAAGCTGTCTGTCCCAATTAAGCTTTCGTAAATCTCTTTTCTAAAAAATCATTTTGTTTTGGAGTCGGATATTAAGGGAGTGGAATTTACAGTTTGACTATGCTTGCAGAATGAAGCTGATAGAGAGATGAGGACCAATGAAGCTTTGAAGCAAAGCCAGAAGAGAGTACAAACTTGTTAGGCTACTGTTTCATTCTTTCATGAAGTCATGAAAACTAGGCGCCCCCGACTAATACCAGATTCGGACTTATGACATGTGTGTGTGTGTGTCGGAAATACCTCCCACGTTATCGACCGCATGTAATTAATCCATCAGACATGATTCGGTTGCCTAGAACAACAGCGGTAAGTCGTACACAATAAAGTAACAGTATCGGAAGTGAACACAATGTCGTGAAATACCAGCCACTCGTTGTTTTTGTATTACTTCCCCAATTATGACATGTTCATTATCGAATCTGGCGGTTATGAGATCCACGTTGAACAGAAACGTGAATACAGAAAACTCTAAACTGGGATAGAATAAATATCTTTAACTAATGTCTTATGATTTTTATCAGTTCAATCTGGAGGTTTCTGGGGATTTATCCATTTCAACTTGACATTCATCATAAACTGGCATCCGTGGTCAAACTAATGGAAAGTTGGGAGCATTAGATAGCTGTTCCGTCCTAGTATGAGAGTCCTCAACAGTGAGCTCACACAAGAGATTTGAATATCGACGTGAAATCAATGAATAAATTCCTACAAACTTCCAAATCAAATAACTGTGCAATCCTCAAGAGATAAAATTTCCCGACGTTTCAGTAAGAAGTCATGACCAGTGTGGAAAAATACATCGAATGTGATGACAGTTACCCAGCGATGGCGTTCGATGTTTGTTGCGCTACATCGTAAATTGATAGAAGTGGGGAACTGTGGACCACTGAACTCCAAACTCAGTGGCTCACCATCGAAGCTCTGGGTTCGACCCCTGATGGGGTTATGGGTGCGTACTGCTAAGGAGTTCCATAATAGAACGAAGTAACTGTCCAGTGTTTGCATGTTTCCAATGGTTCTCCAACCGATGGCATTCCATGATCAATACTAATTCTGAGAAAGGAATCTCATTCTTAAAAAGAACACAGAAAAAGTCGTAAAATATTTATTTCCATCGATTTTTAGAGATGAAAAAGTGAAGAATATGAAATCAACTTTTAGCACAACAGATAAATAAACACTCTGATACAATGTAAACGGAACAGGGAGACACTAACAACACATTCAGGTGTATATGAATTTACCGATTATTTAAAGGGTGCAATGTGAAAAGTGTGCATATGTGAAGTGTCTGTATATGTATGTGTGTGAATGTTTGTCATAATATTAAAAGGGGACGTTAAAGGATGAATCATAGTGGAAAGCATAAACAATTCACAAAACGATGAGATACTACTGGTAAGTAGGTACTACACACCAGTCTGACAAGACATAAACTCATAATTTGTCTTTCTTGAGAGTATTATCAAAAGAGTGGTTAGATGTGTTTTATTCCTCCAACAACTGATGGCTATGTATTATTTATCTTCAAAAAAGAAAAAAACTGTATGAAATATTTTCCAAGGGAGAAAAGAGAAAAGAAATTCCTATTTACAATACTATCACCAATAGTCACTAGTTTGAATCCGACAGTGGTCCAAATTTTCATCTCACTTTCAATTATTATCCAATATCGATACTTGTCTGGTAAACTACGGCTATCTCAATATAGTCAAATGATCAACTATCAATCAATCACTCAGTTGCTAACTAGTATCCATCCAATGAACAGTTTATCCATTCATATAATATTTAGAAAACAAGAATTATTCCTAAAATCCTGAAAGGAACAACTAATCAACTCAGACAACAAAGAAATAATACATTCATTAGAAACAATTTAAAACTAGGTAAATACACAAAATACATAGAAACAAGAAGAAACTTTATATGAACATGATTTTCCAAAGAGGATAAAACCACAACAAACAATTAAACAATCTACTATCTAGTGTAAACTTCTATTTTCTCATTAATGAAAACATATTCAAACGACTAGCTTCAGAATAATCGAAGATAAAAGCAGAAAATGAAAAAGCGAAAAAACTAGCGTATTTCCTTTTTTCTAATTCAAAAATTTGTTTAAAATTTTAAATTAGTCATTGTGTAAAGCAAAAACAGACAAAGGTTCAATGATCATCATGATTAAGGAATTATTAATGTGAGCAATGACAATTACAATGTTGTTGTACAAGCGATGACTGACAGTCACCAGAAGTATGATCTAGAGCATGAGGATGTGAATGAGAATAATATCGTGAATATACAGGTCCATTAGTATCATTATTCAATGAATCATCAATAGCATTGTAGTCATCTGTATGATGATGAGGATGACTTATGATCAACAACTGTTTCATACGCTGTTCTAACTGAATGCGCAACAAGTTGTACTGATAAAGAATAGCATTACGATACTCTGATTCCTCTTTATCAAGTATACGTAGAAAGTTAGTCAGTTCTGCTATTGTGAAGTCTTTCCACTAAAATACAAGAAAATAGACGAAGTTACTGACATTAACTAAAAACAGGATTCGATCGGTATTATCTAAAATTACACTCGCACTCGCAATCCGTTCTCTCGTAATGTACGGCTGAGACACGACCATTAAAAGCAGAAGACCATGAAGCAATTACTAAGTTTTGATTTGAGAAGTCTTTGTAGCATTGCTCACGTTCTATGGAATCACCGTGTGAGCAATGTTGAAGTCAGGAGAAAGGTACAAACTAAGACAAGGAAATCGATTAATGAAGCTGTCAACCTTAGGTGACTGAAATGGCTTGGACGTGTACTGAGTTTACCGAGTCACCGCCTACTTTGACGTACCATGCTAGGTGAAGTTGAATTACGTTGGAAGAGTATTCAGAGTGGCCAGATAAAGACCTGGCACCAGTCGAGGAAGTCTCTTACTGTTCGTCTGAGTCATGGCGGGAGATTCAGACTGCCTAATTGGGGTCCCCGAGACGAAATGAACCAGCGGTTGAGGACTCTCGGTAACATGGTTAGACATCGTTCACAGTGGCGCAGATACATTCACTAGTTGACGTCTTCAAAAGCTTGAATATTCACACTAAACCTTCAGATTTTTTATTTTCTCATACTACTTTGACATGGCTCTTTTTCTATCCACCTGCTGTTTGTATACTACTGTAAAGTATGACAACTTGAGCCGATGCACCAATATGCAAGGTTCTACGTTGATTTTGTCAGTCTCAGTCAACTCTCTGAAATATAACTTTCGTGGTAGATATCTCAATATCACAATAGCTAGTATTTCCGTCGATCTAACAATTCATGACAAGTGGAACCAACGCCATAGGAAATAGTCAAACTCATAAAGCTTCCATCTCCAGTGGTTCATAGTCACCTACAGGCCAAAATTGCTTCCAGGAAGTGTGAAAATGAGACTTATTTCAAGCCTGATCACTGGCCTATTCAGAAAATGTTTACGCTGTCAAATTCGAAATAATAAAATTACTGGCTGTCGAAAATTATTAGGATTCCGGATCTCAATAAAATATTCAACTCCATCAAGAGAGTAATTTTATGGCACTATCCCCTACTTAAAGCTTATTATGAGCAATCTTCTTCTAGCGAAAGTAACTACGAGTCAGTGTAGCATAGATCCGCGCCGGAGTCACCAGCCGAGACATCAATATGAGGAAGTTCTATATGATGCGGTTAAGCAGTGCTGAGATTGTGTTGCTGGCTCACGAAAACCAAGGGTGTTTCGTGCTCTGGGGATTACGGACCAAGCCTAGTTGCATACAACAATGGGCCTCTTCCTGGATATCGACCAACACATCGATAAGTTGACTAAAAGAAAACCGCAGTCGGCCGGATGCATATGCGTAGATCAGTAAGGTAGGTCTCTAAAGTATGGACGGTTTTGTTAATCGTCAGCATTCCGACCAAAAGGTAAGATGAATCCACCTCCCTAATCCCGGCAGTCATTGTTGTTTAAACAACCTCAGAGACAGGTGTATCTTATCTTGTGAAGGCCAGTGACATTCGGTCCGGAATGTCAATGTCCTTAGCGCTACTCTTGGCTGCATTCCAGTAGCCCGAAGTAAGTCACCGCCGTTAATCTGTCAGCACTATGGGTTCACGGGCCATGCATGAAAGACAAGTTGACTCATTCGGCTTCATCGATATGCGTTTACAAGTTCACACGCTCCTGTGGAGCTGAGTAGATCAGCTGTGCTATCCATCTTCTTGCCAAAACGCACTCACAAACATTACTCAGTCTGATTGTTGAAGGGTGAGCACATGCTGAGTGTAGTGCACTAGATCTCCACACTGATTTCAGATTAATGAAGGTCTGTCTTGCTTTTCCAACCCCGGCTTTGACATCTTCATCTCTGCCACCACTGCTTGTAGTTGAAACAATGCTGCTTAGGTAGGCAGGTAGGTAGGTAGGTGAAAGAGACAACTTCCTTTAGATTTCTCCCGTTCATGGTGATTGGTGCTCGTTGTTATTATTGTTGTTGGTTAGGTATCTTCATCACCACTGTCTTCCACACATTCACCTGAAGGAAGTCCTGTCTTCCTTTGCTGCCTCGCCTAGCCTCTTCTGCCAACTCGTTAGTTTTTGCCTGTACATCTTCGAGTTTATGCGACACTAGACATAAATCATCATCGGCGAAAACCAAATCTTCCTCTGAGGTCTTTTCATCGGTCCAACCAGCGTATACCCACCATTTCGCTCCTCATTGTTTGCTGCATGATCCAGTTCAGTCGACCACAATCAAGAAGATCATGGATGATAGTAGGGGGCAACCTTGTCTTACTCCTATCTTCACTTCACTTCAAAAGCATCATTGAATAGCTTTCTATTGTCAATCACTTGGCATGTAGCATTATATAGCATACCATATAGCTGTTGAATGAGGTTGATAAAGGTTTGCGGTATTCCGTAATGTTAAAGCAGTTGCCAAATTACTGTTCAGTCGACGCTATCGAAGGCCTTTTCGAAATCGATGAAGTTGAGGTAAGATAGAAAGTTGACTATCATTCTATGCTCTGTTCTATGATGATGCGTAGAGTAGCGTTGCAATTTGATCCACACATGATTTGTACTTCCTGAAGCCAGCCAGCCAGCCTATTCCGGTCGTAATTTTGAATGCAGAGCATCCTTTAGTCTCTCCAGGATGATGCGGCTTCATACTTTGCTTGGGGTGGACAAGGAGCGTGACTCCGCGCCAGTTCTTGCAAACACTTAGGTGGCCCTTCTTCGGGAGCTTGACGAGGTAGCCCTTCTTTCAATCAACAAGCAGGTACCTTCCTCTCCTTCCAGACCTTCTGCAATAGTGGTGTGAGCATGTACACTGAAGTCCCTGCATCTGTTCTCAGTGCTTCTGGTGGGATTCCATCTGGTCCTACTGCTTTCCCGCATTTCAGTAGCTTTATGGAGTCCAGGATTTCGACTTTCGTCGGAGGGCTTGTGTTCACTTGTTCTGTAGCTGGGCTGCTGGTGGTATTTCTGAACGAAGTGCAGATGGTGGTCGATTCAAGAGCTTCTTGAAGTGGTCAGCCCATCGTTTCCTTTGTCTCTCTTCTTTCGTAATTAAATTTCCTCCATCATCTTTTACTGGTTTCATCTGAGTTGGTCTCTTCTCCCAGATAGTAACCTGGTTATTTGATACAATGTTGTCAGGTCTCTGTCTCTCCTGCCTGCAGCCTGTTCTGCTTCACTTGCCAATGTGTCGTGGAAGTGTCTTTTGTCTTTCCGTGCACCAAATCGTTGTATGCACAGAATCCTGCAAACAGTTCTCCATTCTCGTTCATCACCTCACCTAGCGCTTCTCGACCCATGGTTAGTTCTCTTCCTGTGTTGTCTGCTCCCAGTTTGACATTCATGTCGCCTCGCCCATTAGAATTTTGATGTCGCCAACTGCGGTGGAGGTTTGTTGAGTGCTGATTCCAGTTGTCTGTACAATTCCTCCTTCTTCTCTACATCTGCATTCCTTGTAGGCGCGTAGCGTAGCACTGAATGACTGACTTTCCTGTATATATATATATATATATATATATATAGAGAGAGAGAGAGAGAGAGAGAGAGAGAGAGAGAAATTCATCAATAAGCCCAAGAATGCGCCGACTAAAACCGTAAGATGGGATTCAGTCGATAAGAAGCTTGTTTTCCTAAATCTTAGTTTCGAAGCTTATGATGTTTCCAGTAGGATTAATTTCAGAGTAAAAACTGCCTTAAAAGAAAGAATTTATCTGGCTGCTGCTAGGTTAATCCCAGTAATCTACTGAACTAATTACTAACTAAGACAAACAAAGGTTGATAACTCCTCTCTTCATTTCACCCTCCAATTGCATCCACCAACGCACAGTAACCAGCCTCTCCCTCTCTCTCCCCACCTAATTATATTGGAGTTAAGTGGAATGGTTGTGTGTTAATGCATGCATTGCAATAGCCGAGTTCTTTTTCGAGATTACTGATCTTATTCGCGTCTATAATTCTATATTTAGCTGAATTCCTATCTTCCTCTAATCGAACCCACCCCGACGGACTAGTTCGACCTCTGTACTTGACTTGACAATCACTACTTGGAATTTGATAGATTATATTATTTTACTTAATTGGATCTATTGGATTCTTAAGCTAGCCGATGAAGCTTATCTCTGAATGAGTTCGCAGGTTTAAATACCAGTCATCTTGAGAACATCAGAAACTTTACGTAAAAGTATCAACAAAGCTGGAATTAGTGTGGCATTTAAACCTGCGAACTCATTCAGAGATAAGCTTCATCGGCTAGCTTAAGAATCCAATAGATCCAATTAAGTAAAATAATATAATCTATCAAATTCCAAGTAGTGATTGCCAAGTCAAGTACAGAGGTCGAACTAGTCCGTCGGGGTGGGTTCGATTAGAGGAAGATAGGAATTCAGCTAAATATAGAATTATAGACGCGAATAAGATCAGTAATCTCGAAAAAGAACTCGGCTATTGCAATGCATGCATTAACACACAATAAGGTGGATGAGATAAAACCACTCCACTTAACTCCAATATAATTAGGTGGAGAGAGAAACTGATGATCGCTGAATCTCTGTTCATCGAATCTACACCCAACACGTAGTAGAAATGACACAACACCTATACCAGAGATATGGAAAATTTTACTACCAATAAAGACAACTCATATAAGGTGACATAACTATAAAAATCAAATGTCGAAAGTATTGTGATGACATTGATATGATTATGAGCAATGATAATTTATGCTCGGAACGTCAAGTAAATAATACTGTATCACTGTTTGTTATAAACCAAATAAACAAATCTAATATGGAATTACATTCTACTGCAATGCCCAAGTCATATTATTTATGTTAAAATTAAGTTAAGCCTTAAAAACGAAAGATGAATTTATTCACTAATTCAAAACTGCTGCTTCAAATATTTACATAACAGTGAGTCGCTCGTTCTAGTCGTGCTACGATTCAGGTTGCCATCGCACTTTCAGTGATCACCTGGTATCCAAAATCGCCAACTCAACTTAGCTGATAAGTGGATGGAACAATTAGTCCGGAAATTGACCAATCAAAAACTACTTTGTGCTAATTAAACAATAGTCAGACTAACATGCAACCTATCAAACTACGAGCGACCTTCATGTGTCTATCTTCACCCTCACTCATTGACGTTGTGATTAGGCCTCCTACGCTTTTAAGGTTTTGTACATTCCTATTTGTATCTTGCGCGATATGATTTTCAGATCATCTGTCCGAACACTTGTTCTACTCATCTCAATGTATCTTCCCGAATAATTAGCCGAGTTTGCAAACCAACTAGAAAGTAAACAACTTTGGCGGCTAGTAGTCGGAATGCATGCATCAATTAGTAGTTATGGCATCTGGTGCGTTCGTAGACAATCTACCAACAACAATAGATTAGGAACCACAATATAAATGAAATAGAATACATCAACAATTGTGGAACATATAAAACAGGTTAGAGCCCGCCCCCCTCCCACCGCAAGTGAAGTTTGCAAGGGAAAACAAATTGCACAACGCACCTCTATATCACAGGCATCATTTTCTTGTAGTACAATGCGTTTTTGTTTGAGTACTTCTAAGAAACTGTCACGACTTGTACTTGTACGAACCCAGTTTAATAACAGTAACAGTGGACATTCAGTGGTGGACAGTTTTCGAGCACTAACTATAAAAAGAAAAAGTTAAGGACAAAATAATCAGATAAAATAGGAGAAAAACTTAGAGACTTACTGCCTAAAAGTTAGAACTTGAATGCTGTCACCGCTGATGATGGTTGTGTTGGTACGATAACGACTGTTTTCCAAAATCAACAGGAATCTTAAACAATAGTTATACAAGAAGACTAGTATGTGGAAAAGAAAGAGGAACCAAACAAAAACGCAGACCGAATGTGCCTTTTGAGATGTGAGTATTAGTCCCAAAGAAGTGAATATTCATAACGCAGTTTAGTGTGTACACTACTGATGACTTTAGAACTAGGATAAAACGGTTCATCTATCGGTTGATGTCAGTATAAGATGAGAATCAGCTTCAAACCAATCCTTCCCCCCAGAAAACCACTTACTTGAACAGAGTTGTATCTCTTTCTGCCAGTTAGTTCCGAAATGGAATAGGTATTCTGCTGTACCACAGTGAACATTTTCGAATCGAAATGTACCCGGCAATCACGTGCATATTCATCTAGTAAGCAACGAGCCATACCTATCATGTGAGGGCAAATGATACTAACTGGCTGACCAAACCTCGGTGGGTGAAGCGGTGCTCAAACCTGCGACTCATTGGTTGAAAACCAACTCCCTAGACGAATAAGCCATAACCCCACTGCGATAAGGGTGACTGACATTGGATGACAGTCATTTTATAGTACAGTGAATCAACTGTAGTTCGGGGACGTAGATCACCTAATTTCGACAGAGTGATTGAATGACAAGTTGATCGTCATCACACCTTTAACTTGGGGATTTTAATCTCACATAGAGTCAATAGTAAACATTGATGAGCAGTTTGGAAATGAAATTGAGGCATGGTGGGGAATATTTGTAGCTCGGGTGGATGGTCTTGGTTGTATTGTGTTCTCTGAGCTGGGTTGTTTAATCGTAGAGCTTTCATCGTCTTTCTAGACGACACCTTCAGTGCTAACTTCATTCACGCAGAGATATTGACAGCTCACTTCATACTGAAGTTAACGCTGAAGATGTCGTCTAGAAGGACGATGAAAACTCAACGACTAAACAACTCAGCTCAGAGAAAACAATATAACCAAGAAATTGAGGCATATGTTAACAATGACCAAATACTTCTCTCAAAATCAATCAATAATGGATAATAGCAAGTCATGATATCAAAACGGAATTGATGTTGTATGAAATAATGTTTGGCAGAGTACACAAAACATGAACAAACATCTTGACTTCTAATAGTTCAAAAGTCATTTGAGTGAACAAAGAATACTCTTTTCCGATAACTTCTTCTTCAGATTCTACAGTTATATGTACATCCTGAGGAATGATCGGTGGTGGTGTGGTAAGGACCATCATCAACTACAAATTAGCACACTTAGTTTAAACGAACCATAAAGTGGATATGAATGAGTCGTTTTGCATTCTGTACCGGCGTTCTTGGATTCAGGACTCTTCAAACTACAGAAGTATTGGAAATCAGAATCAAACATCCCAAGTTGTGTGTTCAAAAGAAGCAAGTAATGCCACTATAACTACTGTGGCCCAATACGGGACGCATAAATTCATTAGGATCTTACCGCAGGTAATCTAATTCTATACTGTACATACCCCTTCCTCCCTATAAACTTAAATAATTTTAGCAAATTCTCTTAACCTACCCTGTCCCCCGATATGAGTAACATTCTATCAAACTATTATTCCTCAAACTAGTTTATTTCACCCTATGGCATGTTCCACTTTATCCACCTTTCATATCTTCAGTCTCATACTACTTAGTATTTTTGAGTAGTATACTCATGCCTCTTTATAATGTTGCTACATCCGCATTCTTGACTGTTCATCCTGTTCCACTTAACATTCATAGATATCAGTATCTTTCATGCTTCATGATGGTCTTGTAATTTCTTTCATTGTTCCCTGATGTCCTAGTTTACCTTCAACATTTGTTTATCTTGCGTCTTTACTTCATCATGAGAACTTATGACCGTCTTTCACGTTCGTTTCTGGTTGCTTGGATACGGTTTTGATGTTTTTACTGTTGACGCACTCTTTGAAAGTTTCCTTGGAAGCGATAACTCACTAGATACCTTACGATTCGAGGTATGTATTTTATTACTCAATACTTTTTATCAATATAGAAGTATATTTCAAACAAATCCCGCGTTTTGGATTTTACGTATAATTCGAACGTTTGGTTTATTGTTGAGAAGTCGCTTGTTCGTTTTGGCTCCGAATTTCTTGGAAAGAAATTTACACTATAGTTTTATTACTAACCTATCACCTTGTAGTATTACCCTATGAAGTACAGTCGCTTAGATAAACAATTTATACATTATAAATATGATATAATGTACTCACTTAGCTAACTTGTGCACATCCGTACAGTAAGCAATGAGCCACACCTATAGTGTGAGGGCTAGTGATATCATCTGGCTGCTCACACCTTGGTAGGTGTAGAGGGCCTCGAACCTACAACCCAATGGTTAGTAGTCATCTATGTAAACTACTGAGTAAAGCCCCATGGATAATCAATTACAATGATAAATTTTGAATCCTAGTAACACAGAAGACTTTTCTCAATTGACTTCCTCAAGTGTACAATATTATTGACAAATCGATAAGCAAAATGTCAATATTGTTGATGTATAACTCCTCAATATGTACATATAACTGAAGGACCTGCGAAAGTGGAAGTTATCGAAATGAATATTCTTTGTTCACTCAAATTACTTTTGAAATGTAATAGGAATTTTTGATGATTCTAATAGTTCGACAATTTCCATGCTACCGGATGGTACAATTCTCAATGATCTAGTTTACTCGATTCACTTGCATGAGCGATGTTTCCAACCAATGAATTCCACTAGCTACCAAACATCCACTATTTGTGTACTCAATCGTCTTAAACATAATTTCATACTCAAAAAGATCAACAATCTTACTGTAGTCTGAGGTTTATGAAGATTTTATTTTTGAGGTAGTATTAATCATGGCCTAAAATCACTCAGAGAACCATTAAAAAACTGGCATCGTTCGACACGTGTTTCGTTCTAGTATAGAACCCCTCAGTAATGTGCACCCAGGACCTCACCACGGACCTAATTCAGGACCCTCAGGTATCGCTGTCAATGCACTAATCATCCAACCACTGGGTTAGAGTTCAGCGGTTTATGGTTTCCTACTCCTATCATTTCGCGATATAGTGCAACTGTCCAGCAAGGTCCTGGGTTCGACCCCTGACCGAGTCGTGAGTTGAAGAGTTCCATACTAAGACAAAATAGCTTTCAAGTCCTGCGAGGTTTTTAATGACTCTGCATCTCATGTTAGTCCATGATAAATACTAGGTTTAGAAACCACCTTAGTATCCAGAACATATTAAATAACTGAGAGCATCTAAAAACTACTCTGGAGACCAAAACATTAGAAATTGTTGAGCAGAGTAACAGTAGATTGAATCTAAATCTATTGTGACTGAAATCCATTTTACTTTTACCAAATCACTTTTCAGGAATTACGTAATTGCCAGTAGGGCAATAAACCAGTTACGAGCACACCATTAGTCTCTCAAACTAATATTGCCTTCATTCAATCTTATTTAATTTTTACATTATACGATTATACAAATGTAGGTCGGAAAATGCCGAAAATTCATATACAATTTAAACTAAAATTGAATTCTAGAGTTGGTAAACAATTTTTAATTGATATTTCATGTAAAAACGTAGTCGGCATACTTTTGACGATTAGAAATACCTCCATGTACTAGTTGTAAGTTTACAACATGAATGCGAGAAAATGAGTGAAAAACTAAGTTATTTTAAAGTCATAACCTTAAGGTGTAAACAGTTTACTGCATACCTGAAAAGCATATCAGTTCATGCTGTTTTTTGGGATATGTTGTGCAATACGTCAACAATATTTGATGCCTGCAATATTCCATGCATAAATATTTACTACTTATTCTTTGCAAGTAGTCCACATGAAAACAAAAATATCATAATTGGAGGGGATGAAATGAGGACAAAAACATGTCTGTTGTCTGATTCCAGATGGTGAATAGAGGAATCTAGAATTGTACACGTGAATTGCTTTAATGAACACATTCAAAAAGTTTTGTAGACAAAAAGTGATAACTTACAAAAGAAAATGTGCAGGAACGCTTTACCTAATCGTTAAGAAATCAATAATACGAAAGAAAGATCTGTCTTCCAGCAGAATGGATAATAATCTGCATACCTCAAAAAAATAAAGAAAAGTATGCTTACTTGTAGTGTTTTCCAATGTATGTTCATATAAAGCAAATTTACGTGCAGACTCCTGAATATGAAATCGATCCAACAATGATTGAATAGCATTCGTAGAAGTTGTGGAACTGATAAGAAAGAATAAGGAAAGAAAAGAGATAAAATGTTGACTTAGATGTATTGAAGCATACCAGTAAGAATTTGCCCTACAACTCTCTCTGTATATCAACATACATATCATCATCAGTTTACTTCTATTTATTAAATATCAACTAACATGGATATGAATTCCATTCAAATTTTCTATGCATCTTACTTAAGAAAGCCCGAAACGACGTACATTGGCGTCGAAAGTCTATTGGTAAATGAAGCATAAGTATACTACCTCAATATTACAGGTGGAACTACATCCCCTGGTCGACAGAGGTTCACCAATTAGAACTTGAGTTTCACAGCTCACTTCCTTGCAATCGGTAAACAACATGGAGATGGCATATGGATCTTGGTGACTAGCAAAGGAACCTAGGAAGCGCCTTCCGTCCTATTTGAGACCCGTCAGCTGGATTTACCTACACCCCAGTGAGAAATGTTATCCTGACAGAGGCTCGAACCCGGTAGCCCTCGCTCCAAACGCCAGTGTTATCCAGTGAGCCACTGAGACACGATAGCGACCTATTGCGAAACGGGTATCAGTTGTTGTAATGATACTTGTGATCTCCCGTTGCTATACAGGACCGAGTTGATCAAACCTAGATGAGATCATTCGCCGATTTGCAGACACACCTAGCTAACGAGTCCTAAACAAAACGAAACGTACGTCCTGGATTACCCTGCTGGTCACCATGGTCAACATAACAACATGAATGTTCGGCAGTATCGAGGCATCCGTATAGGAGCCCGTCTGCCAAAGAAGGTCGAGCAATCCAGCCCTGTACAGCAACAGGAGATTACAAATATCATTACAATATGAAAACAGCTCAACATTAGATTTTCATCAAAAAACCTACAGGTTAAAAATAAGATTGTGGGCGAGCACTACTGAGAAGAGTCCTAAAACCCGAATGAAACACTTATCCAGTATTGTCACTTTTTCAATAGTTCCCCGAGATGAAAACTCATTTGGATTCTACAGCTACATAATAAATGATCTAACAACTATATGATTCATAAGTGAAGTAGTTATCTTACTGGAGAATCTTTCAAAGCCCGACTCGTCGTCCCCCATTACAGTTCTACTCGACGGCCTGGTCTAACGCGAGATGTCTCCAAATGTTCTTCTCTGTGTACATCCAGTCCAATCCATTTCTACTCTCTTCTTCCCCATATTTGTTGTACGACAGCTTTTTGTTGGTTCGCTGCCAAAATTCCTAGTTGCTTATTCTTATTATTCTGCCATCTGATCTGATCATCAGTATCAACGGAGCATAGGTGGCACCTGTTGGTTGATGTATGTCTGCAGTTTGTTGGAAATGCTTTTTAAATCGTATCAAGTATCTCAACCATCATATAGAAGCACTGACTGACTTGACTGACATTAGTGTTGAAAATCCCAATCTTGTTCACGCTTTATGCTGAGGGCAGTGCGAGCAGTGCAGTGCTGTAGATCTCCACACTGATTTCAGATTGAAGGCCTGTCTTGCTGGTTTTCCGATCCTGGCTTTGACATCTTCATCTGTGTCGCCGCAGCATGTAGTTGAAACGTTCCTACCTGGCCTAGGTAGGTGAATCCCAAACGAAAGCTCCTACCTAGACGTGGTGGTTGGGCTTGCATATCACAATGACCGAACCAGCTATGCTGGTGGAACAATCATTCTCTCGAAGTCCTACCATACCAGAAAGGTCTGTTGGGTAGTGGTTACACGAAAAGCAGTTACCATTGGGGTAAAATTACTACACTATAATAATGAGGGTCTGAGGGCGAAGTCGTACTGCTGCTAGCTGGATGGGGTGTGACAGCAGTAAGGTGTTCCCCTTGGATGACCAGCAGTGCCATGCTGATGCTGCCTTCTCAGTGGAAGGGGGGGTTAGAAAAGGTCGGCCCCAAAAATAACACACTCCACCATACCCCACGGTCCCCTGGGCCGGCGGTGTTGGTTCACTTGTCGTTTCCTTTCAACCATCCGGCCCCAAAAATACAAAAGTTCAAAATAATCATACTCAAAAGGCTGGGTGTGACAGGCCTCAAGCAGATGTCCGATGGGCTCTGCGGTCACACAAATCTCTTTCAGGTACCTTAAGAAGAAATAGCCTTCCACGGTGTGGGCAGCCGGGAAGTGTCAACCGCCCTCACAACTCTGTCAGCACTCAAGTTTCTTCTGACTGCTATCCTCCTCCTCCATCATTACCTTCTAATCTTCCTTCACGTCTCTTAATTAATGATGCTGCATCATCTTCAATTTCTCCTACCTCTGCAGCCTTCGACAACGATCTGAGTCCACAGAACAGCATCCTGGTCTCCTTAAACCACGCTCCAAATTACATATTGGAGCCTTCAATGTCCGCACCCTCCGTCAAATTGGCCAACAGGCTTCGTTGGCAAAGACTCTAGCAACTCGGACCATGGATGTGTGCTGTGTTTGTGAGACACGCATACAGGACCCAAGTGTGGTTATTCACCTGACCTCTCCTGACCAATCTGGTGAATCTGCAAAATTCACCCTTCGAGTTTCTGGAGATTCGATAGCTAGCTCTCGTGGTCTTGCAGGTGTAGGTATAGCATTAAGCACCAGGGCAGAAAACTCACTACTAGACTGGATCCCAGTTGATAGTCGCCTCTGCGCTATGAGGCTGAACGGCACAGTGAGAACTAAAAGGAATAGTGAGACTCGCCGTTGTCTCTTTGTAATCTCTGCTTACGCACCCACTGACTGTAGTTCGGATGAAGTGAAGGACGAGTTCTACCATAAACTGTCTAACCTCCTCTCGAAAGCCAAACGTTCGGACGTAGTGGTTGTTGCAGGTGACCTCAACGCACAGGTGGGTAGACTGAGTGAGGCAGAAAGGCACTTAGGTGGCACTTTCGGAATCCCAGCTGAACGTACAGATAACGGTGATCGCCTATTACAACTATGCTCAGATAACCGCCTATTTTTAGCCAGCACAAATTTCAGACATAAAGAAAGGCACTGTCTGACCTGGCGTCCACCGAGCTCGACTCAGCGATGGACACAGATAGACCACATTGCTATTAGTCATCGCTGGAGAGGATCGGTGGAAGACTGCCGCTCCTTCTGGAGTACGTGTTTGGACAGCGATCATGCGTTGGTCCGAGCACGTATATGCCTGCGTCTCAATGGACGTAGAAAAAATTTGGCAACAAAACCACTACGAGTTCTGCTGGACAACGAAAACACCAAAGCCGTGTTCAGTGAGAAGTTGGCTAGGCAGTTATCGGAACAAAAGACTGTCACTCATCCAGAAGAAGCTTGGTGCCATCTTCAGTCTACTGTAAAAGCAGCACTGGAGACTGTAGCCGACTCCAAGATAATGGCTAAAAAGAGCCAGTGGATATCAGCAGCTTCTTCCAAACTAATGGATGCACGTGAATGCATCCCTGCAGGCTCTGAGTACAATGAAGAGCGAGCGCAACTTAAAAATAAACTGACGAAAAGTCTGCGCAACGATCGTGAACAGTGGTGGGCAGCAAAGGCTAAAGAGATGGAAAAGGCAGCGGCGATCGGTAACAGTAGACAGTTATTTAGACTTATTAAGGAGACTGGGGGAAATGGTCAACAACAGTTAGTGAGGTTATAGCGGAGAAGGACGGATCTGCGATTCACTCGCAGGGAAGACGACTGGAACGATGGGCAGAACACTTCGAGGAACAGTTTAACTGGCCTCCAGCCACCATTGCGCTGCCCGCTATCCAGTCGGACCCTGAATGGGACATAGAGACAGGTCCCCCAACACTAGAAGAAGTTGAGAAAGCGGTAGGTAGCCTGAAACGGGAAGGGCAGCAGGACCAGACGGACTACCTGCTGAGGTATACAAGAATGGTGGTAGAGTCTCTTAGTCAGGCTAACGGAAGTGTTAGCCAGTATATGGGAATCAAATACGATCCCCTCCGACTGGTCTAAGTCACTCATCATCCCAGTCTTCAAGAAAGGCGAGAAGTCCTCTTGTGATAACCACAGAGGAATCAGCCTGACAAACATAGTGTCTAAGATCCTAAGTTCTATAATTCTCCGACGCCTGAGTGGAGCTCGGGAACAGCAAGCCCGAGAAAACCAGGCAGGCTTTAGACCTGGCCGTGGATGTATCGACCAAATATTCACACTGCGCCAGGTCCTGGAACATAGGCATGCTTACAGACGCCCGACAATAGCTGTATTTCTCGACCTGAAGGCGGCATTTGACTCCGTTGATCGAGAAGTCTTATGGCAGTGTCTGTCACTGAAAGGCGTGCCTAGTAAGTACATCACCTTATTGAAAGCTCTCTACTCGAACACTTGTGGGCATGTTAGAGCCTATGGTGAGTTGTCCAGGGAGCTATACTCATCAAGTGGTGTCCGTCAAGGATGCCCACTATCCCCATTCTTATTTAATTTTATCATAGATATTCTTATGGAGGTTTCCCTCTCGTCACCTAATTACAAAGACGTTGACCCAATCACAGGTGAATTTTCTTTAGATCTAGAATATGCAGATGACATAGTCCTGTTAGGTGAAGACGCTGACAAGATGCAGAGTCTTCTGAACACTTTGAGTGGGAATTTGAGAATGTTTGGGATGCGATTTTCACCACCCAAATGCAAATTTTTGCTCCAGGACTGGTCTTCAGCGGTACCGCGGCTAACAATAGAGAGTGAAGTGGTTGAGTGTGTTGACCACTTCACTTACCTGGGAAGTAGGATCAACCCGGTGGGTTAGTTGCCGATGAGATTTCTGCACGGATACAAAAGGCTCGATTGGCTTTTGCCAATTTGCGCCACCTATGGCGCCGCCGTGATATCCGTTTGTCTATTAAGGGTCGCGTGTACTGCACAGCAGTCCGCTCTGTTCTACTGTATGGCTGTGAAACATGGCCATTGAAAGTGGAAGACATGAGAAGGTTCCAAGTGTTTGACCACCGTTGCCTTCGTAGTATAGGATGTATTCCGTGGTGTCACCATGTGAGTAATGCAGAAGT